GCCTGGCAACCTTTCCCCCATCCAGACATAACCAGCCCCACTCAGGGTTGGCAGTGCCCCAGGGTGGTGGCCCTGAGCTCTCTGCTCTAGCTGCACTGCTCTGGGGGGGCATCATCTGCTTCCCTGGCTGCTTTGGGGCAGGGGGGTTCTTCTGCCCCTCCACCCAGCTCCTCCTCTGTCCCTGAGTGCCCAGCCTGGAGCACCTCCCCGGGGCTGAAGCTGTCTGGGGGGATGCCTTCCCCATCATTTCCTTGCCCTCTGCCTGCTTGCTGCTCCCTGCAGCTCCCCTCTTCCAGCACCTCTCCAGCTGTTTCATCCTCCAGCTCTGGGGACCCCTCAGCTGCCCCCAGCTTCTTGTTGGGGGATCCCGGCTCTGGGGCCACGCTCCCTGTGCCGGTTCCCTCTGCCCCACATTGCCCTACAGCCAGCTTTTCCATCTCTGCTGCTGGGCTCTCTTCCTCTTTGTACTCCTCCGCTTTCTCCTCTTTTACCTTATCTTCCTCCTCCCTTTCCTCTTTTTCTACTTCCTCTACCTTCTCCTCTTCTTCCTCCTTCTCCTTCTCCACCTCCCCCCTCTCTTCTTCCTCCTCCACCTCTTTCTCCTTCTCTACCTTATCCTTTTCCTCCTCCACCCCTTTCTCCTCCTCTACCTTATCCTTTTCCTCCTCCACCCCCTCTTCTTCCTCCTCTTCTCCCTCCTCCTCTTCTTCTCCCTCCTCCTCCTCTTCTCCCTCCTCCTCCTCCTCCTCTTCTCCCTCCTCCTCCTCCTCCTCCTCTTCTCCCTCCTCCTCTTCTCCCTCCTCCCCGTCCTCCTCCTCTCCCTCCTCCTCCTCCTCCTCTCCCTCCTGTCCCTCCTCCTCTTCCACCTCTGCCCCTACAGACTGCTCTTGGGCTGCTTTTCCTCCTGGCGCTGCCCGTTCACACCTGGCCCTGGGGGTCCTGTGTTTTGCTTGGTCAGTCCCTGGTTGTTCTGCTTCTTTGGTCCCTGTCCCCTGCTCCCCCTCCCCAGGGGTCTCTGGGACCCCAGTCTCACCCCGGGATGCCTCCTTCCGCAGCCTTGTCCCCAGCTTCCCTCTCTCCTGCCCCTTGCTGGCCCGCAGCCCCCGGGATGACTGGAAGAGCCCCTGGTAGTTCTT